TCCTAATTTGGTATATTCCCAGACTGAATTAAGATTAGACCCAAAAATTTTATTTCCAAAATTTTCCGTGTCCCTGCTACCGAATAATGTTTTTATGATATCGAACAATTTTCATTTTAGCGATATATTTTGAGTAATTCATTACGCGAATACCGACAATATTTGTTATGAAACGATGTTTTTTTTAAAAGTTCCCTGTTTATCGCGTTTTTTTTATGCGAAACATTTTTTTTAAAAATATTTATTACGCGAAAATATATAAATATATGTTGTAAGTAGGAATGGAATCATAATAGAGTTCGGAATCCACTTATATTAGAATGGAATAATTATACTAACATCCTGACCATAACCTGATTCTGTTCCCATTTACGACATATGTAAATGTTTTTTAAAACAATCTAACAAAAATAGTTCTGCACGACGCTTTGTTTCGTTAACTTTAATAATTATTCAATAAATTATTAAAACTAGTTGGTGTGCAAAGTTTTAATAATTAATAATATCGAGTATGATTCGGTGTTGATCGTTTAAAAAAAAATCATGAAATAAATAAAAAAATAAATAAATTCTGCGTAGCAGGCGAATTATTTAACTACAATAGATTAAATGTTACATATTAAAAAAACGATACCTTTCACTATTGCATACGTTCAAATTCCATATTTCGTCTGTTTCCAGTGGCAAGTATATAGCCTTAAATGCAAATTTTTTGCAAGTGATAATTAATTCTTCAGTGATTTGTAAATAAAATTTGCCAGCTTAATTGTTAAATTATAAAAAGTTACCTTCGCCTCCAATTCTCTCGCCACACTCCGGACAACTTAAAAAAACGATAGAAAGATAAATGAATTAATCAGTACAGGACTTTAACAAAAGTCAACGTTGCTCAATAAAATTACCGGCTTTCTTGGTCTGCATTTCCACAATCACCAATTGTGTAAGGGTGGCCATTAGGACATTGATACCAATGCTGAAATTTACCAAATTAATAATTATGTAGTAAATATAAAAAGCATGATGTAGATATATAGAAAAGCAAGTTGTAGATATATATTACCCCTGATCCTTGCAATTCAAATTTCATGGCTTCATGTATTTCTAATTTTTCTTCAGTTGTTAAAGGTCTATCTCTTATTGCAGCTGCATGAAGATCCAAAACTTCCAAAAGAATTTTATCAACTCTCGATTTGCATTCTTTTTCAAAATGTTCAGCGTTCATCTTAGGAAGAACTTCATCACAAATCTGTATACATATTTTCTCAATCTCAGCGCACTTGTTCTTAACAGAATCTTGAATCGTAGGAGTTACGATGCCCGTAGGAGGATGCCTAAGTTTAAATCGTTCTGCTTTAATCTCAAATTCCGCTAATTCTAACGATGCCAGAACAAGGTGACGACGATATTGATTCTCTTGAGCTTTAGTAAT